AATTATATACATTTATGTACACGGATTTCTTTTTTTAATTATTCGTCTTTTTTTAACGTCTTTATCAACAGTTTACAAAAAGAAAATTGCAATCAAATGCATATACTCTTCTAGAAAGATGTGCTTAGTAACTTTTTTCTTTATGTTGAAGCGCTGGGGGGGGGGTGGGGGTCAATGTCTCGTTCTCGTTGCTAAAACTAAATTTCTCCAAATGTGAGTGAATCAAAGTTTGATCATTTTATCCAAATGATAAAAGCTGAAATCCAGCGAGTGTTTGGTTTGATCAGACCTTCATCACTCAGCTCATCTTCATCAAACACCTCCTCTGAGGGGGAGGGGCTTCTACTGGATCAAGAAAAGTAACGTTGGTTTTATGTGATCGGGTCAAACCGGGCTTCACCGTGAGGTCCAAACTACCAGCTACAGAATCCAGACCAGCGCCACGAGCCAGGTATGTGCTTAGTTGCATAATCAGGCTCAGCCCCGTGAAGATAAGGGCGGGGCCGGGGGCGGGGCCAGGGAGAAGGCTCCGCCCCTCTGCAGAYTCAAAGTAGGCGTTTCTCAAGAGTGATTGGCCAGTTTTTCAATAAAAGTTGGTTCTACTTTTTTTGTTTTTCTTTCACTTTAAAAACTAACATTAATTTTAGCATCAAAACCGTTTTTTTAAATAAAACTGCAATTATCTTTAAAAACAAATATTTAGTTCTCCTGATTTCTAAATGTAACCGACTGATGTTGGTCTAATTATGAAATGTAAGAAGCAGAAATAATGAAGACGTTGAGTCCCAAGTCTTCTGATGACCTCGATTACGAGTGCATGAAACTAAATAAATAAATAACTGAAAGTCCGATGTTAGAGAATTAAGCTAACGATACGAAGAAACGCCGAAGCAATGATCATCCAATCAGGTGAGGCCTTTGAGAAACGCCTACGGTTCTGCTCTGAAACACGGGCCGGTTGATGGATGTGCTGATTCCGGTCGGAGGGGTCGGGTGGACCCTGACAGCCCGACAGTGCCTGGTTGAACCGCTGAGAGACCCCCTGCAGCCCCTCCGGGTCTCCGCTGGCACCAATGAGAACGTTTCAAATGGACCGACACCAGAACAAATGGCTTTGTTTTCAAAGGTTAGATGGACACAGGTGGGAGGCATTTCTGGTGTTGTTCTCATCGAGCCAACAGCTGGACACTTTTAAATAGAAAAACTATTTTCCTGATTTAATATTTTCCTTTAAAAAACACTTTTTTAAACCCAAAATTATCTTTTTTCTCTTTAACTTGTGTCAGAAAACAAAGATGTGAGCAGGTTTTGCCCTCACAGCTGTGTTTGTTTCCCTCCCCCCGAACAATGAGATTAAATCTGGTTTTTATTATTATTATTATTTTGCTGTGAACCTCCTGGTTTCAGGTTCAAACTCTGCGTCTCTCAGTGGTTCTGGTTTCGCCCCGACACACTGAACTCAGTCATTAAGGCTCAACGGGCGCGAGGTAAAAGAACGACAAGTGCCCGGAACACACTCGTAAAAATTTCCTATTCTGATTCTGTGATTTTGTGTCAACACACACACACACACACACACACACACACACACACACACACACACACACACACACACACACAC